CTGCATAGTTTACGCTTTTGCTCGATTCAGTTAGCCTTCTCTTTGTAGACGTTTTCTGTTTTATTTATAAATTTACGGATTTATATAACATAAATACAAAATCATCAACAAACTAACTCGATAAACTTTGGTAATGCCTTCCGTAAGTTCGCCACATAAGAAGGCATTTGAGGAATAGTTTCGCAACTGTCGCGTTGTTTCAAATCACTTGTCAATCCATTCTATATATCTGAACAGGACTTATGTTAAATTTGTGGAGACAGTTAGTAGGAAGCTCTAGACTGAGTTTTCATGTCTTCACCCACTCATCATTGGTTGACTTAGTTTCGAAAACTGGCGCTATACAGTCAGAATACGTTGCACACTTATAAACAACCAATATAACTGTCTTCAAAGTTTTGAAGCAAATGAGCCTGCCGTTACTGAGCAAATAATTACTAATAACATTCATAACCAACACACAGTAAACGATATTTTAAGTAGGATTATGCAAGTTTTTGTCAAGTTTTAAGATGAGAGCGATACATTGTTAACTACTTATAAGTAGATAAACTTTATACGCACAAGTTTGATCTGCATGTCATACAGTCGAAATGAAGTATTTAAAAGTCCTCTGCTATGTTGTGTTGTGTAGCATAAAACTCTGATGGCTCTCAGAAGTATTATCATATTTGATGTTGGTGACTTTCTGACTAAGGAATTGACGACGTTGTTTACAAAGGTTTGAGAACTAGAAAGTGTACCAACGTCATGGAATGACTCGATAGTTGTCCCTATCTTTAAAAAGGGTTCACGTCGTTCCTGTAACAACTATCGGGGGATAAGTCTACTTCCGATTGCGTCCAAGCTATTGGCTCCCAACATACTTCGTACGTTGTTCAAAACCCGAGAAAGATTGACTCGCGAGGAGCAGGCTGGGTTTCGTTCTGGTCGAGGATGTATTGATCATATCTTCACCCTCCGCCAAATGTTAGAACACCGCCATACCTATGAAACACCAACAATCGTAGTGTTTCTTGACATAAGAGCTGCCTTCGATTCGTTGGACAGGACTGTCCTCTGGGATTGTCTATTAAAGAAGGGTGTGCCTGAGAAGTTTATTAACATCCTAAAAGCCCTATATACAAACACCTCAGGGAGAGTGAGGGCATACAACCACCTTTCTCCATTGTTCCATTCGAGCAGTTTGGTTAGACAGGGTTGTCGAATCTCACCATTTCTCTTCAACTTTGCCATCGACGACATTCTGGAAACAGCTCTGATGGATGTAGGTAATGGTGCTGTGAATCTGTTGCCTGGAGAAAGACTTCTCCACCTTGAGTATGCGGATGATATTGTCTTACTGTGCGACAATGCCCAAGGCATGCAATCCACACTTAATCAGTTGGCAATCAGTGTCCGTAGGTATGGTATGTGCTTTGCACCTTCGAAGTGCAAAGTACTTCTACAAGACTGGCAGGATTCCAATCCTCTACTCACCCTGGATGGTGAGCAGATAAACGTAGTCGAGAAGTTCGTGTATCTGGGTAGCTGCATAAGTGCTGGTGGGGGTGTGAGTGATGAGATCAATGCACGAATAGTGAAAGCCAGAGCGGCTTATGCCAATCTGGGCCACCTTTGGCGCCTTCGTGATGTTAGTCTGGCTGTAAAAGGCCGGATCTACAACGCGTCGGTGAGAGCAGTCTTGCTCTATGCTTGTGAAACCTGGTCTCTCCGAGTTGAGGACGTTAGACGACTCTGTGTTCGATCATCGCTGTCTCCGAAGGATCGCTGACATTCAGTGGCAACACATTGTTAGTAATGCAGAGCTTCGGCATCGTGTGTTCGGGCACAGAGGTGATAATGCAATCGATGTCACCATCTTGAAACACCGACTTCGGTGGCTTGGACATGTTCTACGAATGTCGTCCCAGAGAATTCCACGTCGTGCATTATTTGCCCACTCTGGGACTGGTTGGAAAAAGCGGAGGTGGTCAGTGCATGACATGGTGTCGTGGTATGAAAGAAAGCTGCAAAGGACTGGCTTCTGTTGGACCTTCACGACTCCCTGGTTGGGGTCCGAGAGATGGTGCTACAGTGGCTAGAGACGTTGTCAGATATGGCTCAGAATAGAAGCCAGTGGCGATCCTGCTGTAACCTTCTTTTACTACCTTTATAAAAAGTGGTTGTATCTTGCTCAACTGAAAGAATTCTTTTTGATTGTACCTTTCCGTTCATCATTATTATTACTATTATCACTACACTACCTTACACCAACCTCTTCGTTATCGTTCTTTTTTTACGCTCCTTACCTTTTTTTCTTTCTCCTCGAATTCTCATTGTTTTCTGCGGCGCTCTTTTGTACCAATATTTATGTGTTCAAATGAGTAAACAAATAAACTCAGAAGTATTGCAATGCCTTATCTAACGTTTTACGCTTTGCAACTTATATTCAACAGAGGTAAACTGACCCTCAAGCTGTTAGTCTCAGCTGTAGAAATCTGATTTATTACTTCAAAAGCAAAAGTAAATCCAGTAACCTCTACAATTTTTTTGGTTTTTACAATCAAAATGGAGTAAGAGGAATTCGCCACAATTTAATATTTTGGAAATTCCATCCCATACCCGAGCATTTGAATACATTGATTATTACACTAAATTAATATATTGACTTCAAAGTTTCAAATACCTCGTTCATGTGCATGAAACATAATGGTCGTTAGAGTTATTCATATGAAGTTACAAAAACTGATAGCGTTTCAACAATTAATCGAGTAATTTACTCCTATTCCTAAAAAAACTTCGATGTGCTAGGGTAATGAGGGTCATTCACGAATAACATATCCTCTATATACTTCCAGTGCTAAGAAACGTTTACCCAAACAACAGATGAAATATGGCCTATTCCGCAACCGTCATGAGCTTTCTTGAAATAAGACAAGTATTATTTGATAGATTAGTTCATCAACAGGGCCCCCTATGATTTGACATGAAAAAGTAGCACTGGTAAATCATGATGTTGATGAACAATGATGAAAACGAGAACAGGAAAAGGAGGCAATAAATAAAAATACGGTGATAGGATCCTCAACATTTAAATGAGGGGAAGGAACAAAGGCATTTGAGTTGCTACAGTTGATTTATCTTCATAAATCATAGTCACACTTCGACCTCAGCACCTCTTGGGACCTTAGACTCTACTATCATCTCAGTCGCGATAGCACGTTGGTCTACCCATATATGCACACATACCCAAGACCACAGTGAACATCCATAGCACAGGCAAACTCTTCCCCACCATACTCGACGATCTACATTTACGTGCCAATATCCCGCAGCAGAGGTTCTTCAGTTTGAAGCTGAAAACAATTTAGAACCTTTGATAACTATGTTTCATATCCGTGAAGTAACCACTGTGCAAAGTTCTTAACACTCAATAAACATTCATATATCTAACCGGCCGACAGATAATGAAGCTTAGCAAAATCCAAATACATCTTGATTATCTATCTCATACTTTCATAGGACGTGAATACACTGGGGTTGTTTAGTATCAACAATGCGAAGTCGTAAACCACCTCACAGTTTATTTAGATATAACTATATGAACCAAACATGTAGTAAAGGTCTGCGCTTGCTAAAAGATCCTGTAGAATCTTAAGTTGCTATGGCCTTTATCTAACCGGAGTATATCCGCATCTCAACGATCAGACCTTAAGATGAAGAAACCGTTAAAATCCGGGAGCGAAAAGTCAAGTCCTGTTGTCAGTCAATTAAAAAAATAGCAATCAGTACTAATTCGAATTATCAACGAAAATTCCCATTAACAATTTCCAGCTTTCTCAAAGAAACGTGACGTAAATGAACTTATTCATTTATTTTAACACCTAATTTTGGTACAAGGATGGACCGAATAGATATGCGCCACACAGATCTCATTTGATGTGTGTGAGGGATGTGAACTCCGTAAGCTTTATTTGTTTTATGCGGATTTTTCGTTCGTGACATGGAAAAACACCGAGTCCAAATGAAAAAGACAAATAATCCAGTATAACCACACCAAAACTATCTATACAAAGCATATGCTGAGTAGTTCAACTGCCAATTTAGTGATACGTGAAATACGGCTCCCATCAGTTAATGACTTGAATTCACGAAGCTCGTTTTGTTTTCCTATACTCAAGCTACCTGTGAGACAGGTGACACGTCTTTCTAGAAACCAAATGGACGGTACCCTAAGTAGTAGTTATCTAAATCTATGGCTGCAAAACATTACTCCCAGAAATAGCGGGTATTTGTATGATGACATGTCCCAGAGCCAGCCCAAAGCCACAACTTTGCTGTTTTTTAAGATGATGGGTTTTAAACCAATGTGGTGGCTTGGGCCTGCGTCCAGTTTGGGGTTCGGTTAAACAATGCCAACAAGCGAAAACCACGCTTTGACGTGATTAGCTCGTGGAACGCCCAAAGAATGAGATACAGAATACACTAACTTAAAGTTACCAGACACGTTAAAACATGCCCCATATTATTTACACAAAAATGACCAGAGACGAACACTCATTCTTCTTAATAATTTACCATGAGAGAAACCTGCAAATGCAGTAATTTCTCATTTCTAACTCAATGGAAGGTCATTTGAAGGAGTTCCAGCTAATGCGAAGCTACTGATGGGAAGCATAACCGTTAACCAATAACCCAAATCTACATCATGTTGTAACTTCAAGTATACAAGTCGAAGTATAAACTACATCTACTCCCAACACAATCCACTATGCAGTTAGCACAAATCTGAGAATATGAAGCACAATCAGGTTGATTAGAAATCTCAACATTTGAATGCGTGTAGAGAAAAGAAAGGTGATTATCCTCAAGATTCTAAAGCAACTACATAGCAGTTTAGACAATGTGTGAAGCAGGAATTTTAAGGACCAAACCGTTTATTCTATGTTACTTATCTAGTATCATACTTGCTTATCACAAGCCGGACATTTCGTATTGGTTGCCAAGCATAGCATTTAGTGAAGCTTAGTGACTTAAGAAATGTCTAAAAAAAGTACGAAACTACCAAGAATTGTGACCAAGAGAACTGAGTTGGAAAGTGAGATTGCCAAGATTTCAAGAACTGTAGCGTGACTGACCCCTGAACCTCATCTTACCTACATGGAAGTTTATTAATACTAAATATGGTGTTCTTGAAAAACACGTTTCCCACAAAACAGAGAGCAGCTACTGCGTAATTGCGGAACCAACCGGCAATCGATTACTTAATCAACGATGTTACAATTACTACGTGTGGGTGCTAACATGGGAATCAAAAGCACGGTATATAACCCAATCAAGTAGAAACAGTAAATAGGACGAGTTATCATTGGAATGATCACACCAACATACATCCAGTTGCTAATAATTGGGAAAGACAATAATATCCAGGTGAATTTTATATTGAATTACACTGAATCAACTTTTGGAGGTTCATAGTGATCTGGGCGAGAAACAGTTTCCCCAGGAGCGGCTGACTTTGACTCGCCATGAAGTTCCATCAACCGGGCAACTAAAAAATGAACGAAAACACAGTTGGACTTACGATCAGCTTTCGGTTTTTTTAGCACCTTAACCTTGCGAATAAATGTTTCACTAAGTGGATAAATCCACGATGCAGCCTTTCGAGCATCCTGTGCAATGGAGTCTGGAATACTGAAAAACTTAGCTGGAAATCTCAGACTTACAGCTTATTGACGACCTCTTTCAAGTCGCAGGTAGAAACTTCCTGTTGAATAATGTCGACAAGACGCGCACGTATTCGTTTAATACGTGTGCTCTGTGCGTAAGAATGGAGTCTTTCGGACCGAGGAACACTTGGAGTGAACGTGATTATGAAGAAACGGAGTAAGTATCCGTCTGTTGTCTTTACATCAACATGCGCTTCGATGGTTGAACGCCACTTGACAACAACTGAACACAACTTGTCTCGAGTAAGTTCCAGTCCATGAAAATTGGTTAGGCAGTGACGTCCCTGGACATCTTCAACCTGAAGTTTAAATTTGCGGAAGAATTCTTCATTCTTCTCGCTGAGATCTCCGAGACTAAGTGTAACTACACGACCTTTGAGTGCTTCACTGGCTATACGTGTGCCTTGAGTTCGTGTCACCAGTGTTCGTGCACAAGTTCTCTTGGAAAACATAGCTGGAGCCTTAATGTCATACCACTCCTTTTTGGTGAATGGGTCGGACCTATATAGATAAAGCTTAATAATTTAATATCGTACGTTTCTTCTTCCCGCCCTTCTTTCCTCCTTTTGTAACTTTTTTCTGACCGCCGACTGCCATTATAATACCTGGGGGTAAACCGTTATAAATTTAACTCGAAATCCGAAGGGGTCAGATAAAGCATCGATACATGCCAACCACGAGACCTACCTGTGCACAGATACAACTGATGCGCCTTGGTGCTAATTTCAACAAGGTCAAAAGCCTTCAATCTTCAATTAAAAGCTGGTAGAAATTCTGAACATAATGATAGAAAATTGAGAAGTATATAGTTTCCACTCCCAGCGTTAATTTTTATATAACTGTGAGTGCCCTATTACTTCGTGAAACAAAAAGGTAATACTCAATTTCATTTCTTCTATAACTGCGCTAGCGTGTTTCAAAATGGCCGCAATATTCCTGACATATCTGGGTATTTTCGAAATGAAGAGTGTTTCTACATTTAGAACTCGTCCGAACTAGCTTTTAGCCCTGTTTTCCCATCCTATTGTTTTCACTAATACCCACAAGCAGTTTTTAACTAGTATCAACAAGCAAAGAACTCACCTGCAGGATAAATACTCTTTTTGATGTTACCTGATTCAAAAGGTAACAACTGATATGTACACAAAGACTAAGACATTATTTCACCTGAATCTATGACTAAAGTGATTTTCAGTGGAGATTTTCGTGTCCGAACTATGCTGTTGTCTCAGTGCAGAAATGTAGAGGATTGCTTTCCATATAACGACTCCAATAATTAGCATCCCGCTGACTAGTATCAAATGCATGCTAAATCCCCCAATACAATTATGGATTTACTCGAGATTTATTCAAAAGCCCGAACACGGGTTATAAAGATAGTTTATTATTAAAGATTGGTAAAATCCGCAAGAACTCCACCTGTAGCACTTCTAGAGTTACTGCCAGTCTCAGGCCCGGGTAAAGGAGGAAGGTTGGGCATGGAGTTAGCGACCCCATTTCGTAGAAAACTAAATAGCTAAAAAAACGCTTACCAGAAAAAATAATTCAAACCATTTTAACTCTGCCCTGGGAGTTAGAAGGCCTTCATTTAGAAGAATTATGACGCTTCATGGTGAAAGCCGAGTTCCTTCGAAAGCCACGAGGCCGATTCCCCTTCTAACAACCAAAGCAACAATTTTTATAGGTACATGGAACGTCCGGACAATGTGGGAGACCGGAAAGATCAGTCAAATAGGGGTGAATTTATCCGCAACGCAACCATGTAAACTTAATGTATCGCACAGGGTCATCTGTGCGTTCAAGCAAACACAGATTTTGTCATTTCGTAATGTATTTTTAATTAACTAACTAGACTATGTTGTTAATTTCGCTCTGTTTTTAATTTTTATTCCCCACGTCTGACTGCGTTACACTGTACATTCATGCACGCTGGGGTGATATTCCAAGTCATAGTGAGTTTACTCTCATAGTTGATTGTTTCCAGATAGACCGTCAGTGCATAATGTTACTGAAGGAAGGTTTGTTGTACTGTAAACTATGTTTTTATTAACAACTGACTGTTGTCTTCAGCCTGAAAGCAATATATATCCTTTATCTTCTGCTAGGTAAGTTCGACTGGCCTATATTTCATGCTTTGGTTTTATCGGCTTATGTCCATTTAACTACTTTGAGCAACATGTCTGTGACACTTGCTTAGTTTAGTAAATAGAGCTGCCTGTTCCTAAAGAGTATACTGATTCAAATCAGTCTGATTAAAAATGGGAAAAAATGCCTTTGGTACTGTTGCTGTCATACATTATTTGATAGCTTGAAGTATGTTTGGTGTTTATTTCTAAACTGTACATCTATCACTGACCATATTTCATGATCATTGTCATTAAACAATTTCCACAGCAATAACATCGGTAGCAAGATAGCTAAGTGTCTGAGCTTTTAGTTGCCTGCAAAACAGCAGTATACAGTCTTAGAAGATGAGTGTTCTGTGTCTCAACTAAATGCAGCTGGCTGTGGACAAATGTTAAGAATCTTTTTGACAACTGGGACTTTTAGTTTATCAGACACTAACTCGGCTTGTATTTCTTCTGTTAAACTAGACGCAGATGCATGGGAATACCTAAATGGGAGCAAAATAATAAAAGCATTGCGATACGGTACTAAGCCCATGTTATGCTTTGCACAAGTAATAGTAGCTGACCTGATCTAATATTCATGAACTCAAGGTAAACCACAACTGCATAAATTCTTTGCTAAAAAAATGTAATTTCGTTATTTATCTATTCCACATTCCTGACTAAATTGATTACTATTTTCGCATTTAGAATGCAACAGGAGTGAGGCTTCACAGATCCTAGAGACTGTTTACGGGAGACCCAACTAACGGCAGATTGTAAAAGGGATGCTGGACGTCCGTTCTAGTCTCACAACCACTTCCAGTATTTTCTGAGTTACTTCTTCTACCCTTTCGTTTGGAAAAAACAACAAAGACTGCAGCTTAACATTATCAATGCAACTTTTAAACGGGAACTTGGTCTAAACCTTTGTTTGATATTCGATTCTTAATGAAAGTTCCTGAATAAATGTTTAAATCTAATGCTGCTTTGTTTTATCTACTTATTCGTTGCAAGAAACTTGTAATATACGAGCCTCTCAGCACCTAGCTCATATGTAGTAAATCTAAGTGATTTACTAAATATCTTCGTCATTTTCTTGGGAAACCTACAGACCCGGGTCCTCTCATAACTTATTCTAACCACCACAAGTTGTCACGGCAGCTGATGGACACGCGTTATGCTCCCTAATCAAATGCCATGTGATAGGCAAGCAATGCCCCTACCCTCACTAATGGAACACGAGTAACTCAAAGGCACCCTGTATGGTACCTTACATTGGTCTACGCACCCACTTAGCTCTTTAGTGAGAATATTACTACAGTCCTGCTAAAAATCCCATGAACCCCCCTACCTCCATCAAAACAAATAAGTCTGTATTTGCTGCATATAGCAATTTTATTTTTCAGAAGATATAACAGTTAGAATTGGAGTAAAATGGCAGTATACAGCAGATGCACGTGGTACATATTTTCATCGATTAACTGAAATAGAGAATACGGATATTAGCTTAACAGGCTTAATTAGAAAGACTAGTGCCTATTTTGAACTTACTGCGTGAGAAAGTTATACTGGAACTATGAATAATTTAGGAATCTAGGTGTGCGAAGCACTCAAACTGGGAGACAGTTGTCCAAAAATAATTCGAATATGAAGAAAATTCGCAGGTACTTTTCATCGTAAGGGTGAACATATTAGGTACCGGTTGACGTCATAACGTAAAAAAAACACAGATTTGCGAGTGGTGAGATATGATCTATAAAAAAGTGAGCTTAATAGCAGTTAATTACATTTTACTCCCTGATCACGACCCTTCGGCTTCCTTTTATGGCCAAAACAGCAAACACACACTACACACTGATAGCAGATTTTCGGCTTCTCAATGTTAAGCTTGCTTTAACGCACTACGTAACGAGTACAACCCCTCTATTACTGCTATATGACATATTTTTTATAACAAACGCACTGCAATAGATTGGTAGTATCTGTGACTTCGTCTATGGTTGTCGGAAGTCTGTGTCCTTTCGAAAACAACACTGATATCAACTACTGCTAGGCAATCAGTATTAGTTTGACTCGTTGGCGGGATAATGTTGTCCATAATACTGAAGAAAATTGAAAACCGCAGATTGTTTCCTTTCATTTTGGCGATAACATCATAAAGGACAGTTAGGAACGAACATGCGGACAGTTAGTCACAGGCAGCAGCAACAATTATTTTAGCTAAAAAAACGGACTTCGTCTTTGAATATCTAGAAAACAAGTCAGTAAAAAACCGATTACCATCTTAAAACAAAAGACTAGACAGCTTGGCCGAAGAAATACATTGACTTGAGTAGAAGCAGCAAAAACCCAAAAAACAATGCTGATTCAAAGTAAATTTCACACCAACATATAGAACATTACACTAACTGCGGTATTTTAGCACACTGAAACATTAAATTACATAGCTACACAAAAGAAATAGCTGAAAGAAGCATAGGGCGAAGAAAACCGACCGCCATTGCTTACAAAGATTGCGGATGTAATAATTCCTCCCCCATTCTGGTTGGTTGCTCAGCTGAAGGGCACATTTACGAAATTGAGTTGCGTTTAATTGCAGCCGCCAAATAGCAACGGAAATGAGGAGATACAATTTGGCAGTACTGGGAATCAGAGAAACCCATTGGATCCAAGCTGGACAACAAAGGCTAAATATGGGAGAGATGCTGCTATACTCCGGCCGCGAAGAGGAAGATGCTCCACACACTTAGGGAATTGCTCTAATGCTGTCAAAAGTAGCACGAAATGCACTTGTAGGATGGGAATCTCATGCATCCCGAATCATCAAAGCACCATTCAAAATAAAGAAGGAGGGATAACAATCAATATTATCTAATGTTATGCATCCAACAATGATAGCAACGACGACATTAAAGATCAATTCTACGAGCGGCTGCAACCAATCATAGAGAAGTGTCAAACAAAGGACCTCACCATTCTGATGGGAGATCTGAATGCCAAAGTCGGAATAAACAACACCGGATATAAAGATATCGTGGGACGACATGGACCGGGAGAGAGGAACAAAAATTGGGAAAGATTTGCAAATCTGTGTTCATTCAACAAATTGGTCATAGTGTGGGGTGTCCTACTTATATTGATGTAAGTAGTGTATGATGCGAGTCAGAAACGTAATGTCTGGCAGCAGAAGATGAGGGGAAGATCAAGTAAAGAAGCGCGAGAACACAATGCAATTTGTAAGAAAACGCATGAGCAATGGAATGGGAGACAATGGATTGATATTTGCAACAGAAACAGTCCAGTTTGATATGATGCATTAATATTTTGCAAATTGACGATTTACTATATGGTATTCAGATTTTATTGAAATAATCTGTAATTTTCGTGCTAAATACATTCGATTATCCCCACCCGTGTGCTTGTTCACTACGATAGGAGGCACAATATTTCCACACAAACGTATACACAAGGCTACATGGATCTCACCGGACCACACTACAGAGAACCAAATAGATCATATTTGCATCAACAAAAAATTCCGAAGGACAATGGAAGATGTGAGAACCAGGAGAGGTGCTGACGTAGCTTCAGATCAC